TCGACCGAAACGGCTCTTCATTTTATAGTGCATAGAGTCGAAAAGGCACTGCACTACAAGGAAATGGCACTAGCTGTTTTCTTTGATGTAGAGGGGGCTTTTGATAAGGCGAGGACATCTACAATCTGTGAAGCGCTACAAGCCAGAGGCACTCCCCCAGTCCTGGTTAGTTGGGTTAAATCCTCACTGGAGGAGAGGCAGGTCAGTGCATCTCTGGGAGACTGCCATTTGGACATCGGTGTGAGGGGCGGCTGCCCACAAGGCGGCTGCCTATCACCCCACCTATGGTGTTTAATAATGGATGGACTTCTGGAGAGACTGACGGCCGAAGGGCTGTATGCACAAGCATATGCAGATGATGGTACAGTCCTAATCAGAGGAGGCATTCTAGGTGTAGTCTGCGACAGAATGCAGACAGCATGCAGAATAATAGAAAATTGGTGCAAAGAAAACGGTCTGTCGGTTAACCCAACAAAAACTGACATGATTCTTTTTACCAAACGAAGGAAGATACAGGACTTCAGGGCACCAGTCATGTATGGATCCATACATGACTGGTCTTCGAAGACCTCTTGAGATTACTCAAGAGGTCAAGTACCTAGGTGTTACCCTAGATAGGAAGTTAAGTTGGAAATCACACGTCGACAGAGTTGTTGACAAATCGATTGCAACTTTCTGGCAGCTGCGCCGGGTGGTGGGAAAACGCTGGGGAGTAAATCCCAAAGTCCTTCACTGGATTTATACTGCTGTCATCAGACCGCGGATACATTATGGATCAGTGGTCTGGTGGCGCAGTGTCAGCAAAACCACCATCGCTCAAAAACTGAGCAAGATACAGAGACTGGCATGTCTCGGTATCACAGGCGCAATGAGGACTACTCCAACGACGGCATTAGAGGCCTTGCTGAGCTTGCCTAGTCTTTCCCTCTGGATAAAGAGAGAAGCAATGGCGAGCCATTTAAGGATGAGGGATGCCAACAATTGGTTAGGAAAAGGAATAACTTATGGTCATGAGGGCATCGCGGATATGGCTGAGAGGGAGGTCCCAATTAGCAGTATTAGAACGATGCCAGCAAAAGACCGCCTAAGTTTAAAAAAGAAGTTTTCCCTCACGATACCAACAAGAGAGCAGTGGGAGAAAAAGGATGTACACTTTGCATGGCTCTCGTATGGCGAGTACACTGTCTTCAGGGGCAGGGTTCTGCGTGGAGGACAGGGATATCCAAAGGAGCTACCCGCTCGGAGGATATACCACTGTCTTTCAAGCGGAAGTGTTTGCCATACTTGAGGTTGCAAACTGTGAGGATATAAGAACAGGGAGCGAGACAGATATATACATCTGCTCAGATAGCCAAGCAGCTCTGAAAGCGCTTTGGGCAGCGAGAACCACATCGAAGTTGGTTCAAGAGTGTGAGGAAGCGCTGGAAAAGCTAGCAAGCACAAAAAGAGTGCATCTCGTATGGGTACCAGGTCATAGTGGGGTTGAAGGTAACGAGCGGGCTGATGAGTTGGCCAGATTGGGATCTGAAACCCCCTGTGTAGGACCCGAACCAATTTTTGGAATTACGAGAAAGCAGGTCAAATCAGCCCTAAATAATTGGGCTGATAAAAGGGCGAACGAAAGCTGGAGAAGAAGCGGTGGCTGTAGGCAGACCAGGGATTTCCTGGTCACCCTAAGCAAACCCAAATCCATCTGGCTTCTAGGTAGGAGCCGAACCTCCTTGGGCCCACTTGTGAACATACTCACGGGTCATGGCCTAAGGAAACACATCTTAGCAGTTTAAATAAAAATTAAAGAAAAAATTAAAAGTTTAGGTTGGTGATACTGAGTTGTTTTAGTATCCTGGTAACAGTGTTGTTCCCAGCGGGAAAAAAAGCGTAACAGATTTTACAGAAAAAAGTAATAGATCCCTATAAAATGTAATAGATCGCCATTTTTAACTACCTATCATTATAAAAATTAAGAAATTTGTTATTTCATAAAGGTAAAGGGGAGGGGGGATTTTTATAATCATCCAAAGACATCATGCATGTTTTGTGAATAAAGATTTTATTTAAATATTTGTTAGAGTTGTTATAGAATTGTACAGGTAATTGGTAGGTACTTACTTATCATGGTACTATTACTATAAGTTTAATTTTATTTCAATGTTTTTTTCATGGATAACTTGACGGAATAAACTTTTGTAGTTATTATTGTGCATTTTTCTACTTAAAATTTTTCAATAAAATTTAGTAAAGCCTTTACTGTAAAGGGTCGTTTTGGGGGTCGTGAATCCAGTCCCAGTAAACACAGGACTCGCGGGCCAGAGATGGCGAGAATACTTTTTTCCGAACTGCCGGATTCGGCCCGAAACATGGTTGCCGGCGCGGCGTGTAGGTAGGGCATGTCCGCCTGGCAGACTTTCTGCCGACTTACCGTAAAGCCCAGTCATTAGCGGGTATCAGCTAGTGGGTTACTCGGTGGCCCGCCACCCGCTTCCGTGCTTTCGGCAAGGTTACGATACGTTGCTTAATAAGTAAATTGCCCAGTACACACAGACTCGCGGGCCAGAGATGGCAAGAATACTTGTTTTCCAATCTGCCGGATTCTCACGATATATGGAATCCGGGTGGTGGTCCACCGAGTAACCCACTAGCTGATGCAGCGCCTGCATCCATATTATGGATGCAGGCGCTGCATCAGCTAGTGGGTTACTCGGTGGACCACCACCCGCTTCTATGCTTTCGGCATGGCTGGCGTATATCATACGGCTAACGTTCGGTTTTGATACCTTTTGCTGTTTTCTAACCGACAATGGGCCACTTGTGGTTAGTAGGGAAGTGATAGGGAAACAATTAAAAAAATATGGAAAAATATAAAAATCGGTAAAAATATATTTGAACTTGACATGGTATTGCGCTACAAAACAGATAAAATAAAATAAAATTTAACAAAACTAAAATATCAACAAAACTACACTCTACTTCAGGTACCTCCTTTTCTATAACATTTATATAAGAACCCTCCGAAAACCCATCAGTTTTGGGTAGTTCTTTAGGTATATTTAAGGGTATATTCTCGGGTATATTACTAGCTGTGTTGCTTGATATGTCTATACTATTAGAACAAGAAGGTTGGTCATTATTACTAGACACAGAACTTGTAGGTAATTGGAACGATGCATTATTTGTTAAATTGTCATCCGTTAATAAACAATCTTCAATTAAACATTTCATTTGTTCACTAAGCACACGACGTTTAAAAAATTGTGGCGTTTGCTTACTTTTTTAATAAAAGACATATTGACTTAATTCTTTTAAGAAATATCCTAATTCAAAAATAAACGATAAACCTGAAAATACCCTTAACAAATACCTACCTAAGATAAACAGTGAAATGGCAAAATATGCAAAATATAATAAATTATGTTGTTTCAACTCTTCACTTGATTCTGCCATTTTACAAACTATAATTATAACCTAAAACTACACACAAAACTAGTTTGTCACAAAAAACACAATTTTCAAACAAAAACCGGCACCAAAACACAGTAAGTATATCGTTTATAGCACAATTCACAATGTGGATTGTGGTTTATAGTATATGGATAATTTATAAACTATTTTCTTTAAAGGAAAACAACATAACACTGTCCTGAACAATCCTTAAAAAGCTTTTCTGGAATATAACCTAACATTGAAACTTCGTTCACGTGGTTCAGCTAAACTACTAAAGTAAAGTGTTTGCGACCTCTATGATCATTGATCTGTGTTTGGGACTACGAATGCCAAAGACTTAAAATGAGGAGAGCGGGTATCAGCGTACTTAACGAAGACGGCCCGAAAGTAGCAAATAATCCAGCCCGTTCATGGGCTATACTTTTTCGGATAGCATTCGGGCGCGAAGGGTGGATCCCGATTACTGGTTTGCCGAAATCGGGCCGTATTTTAACCGAATTTGGAAAAATGCCTACTGGGGAGGTTGTATGCGGGCCGTAAGTGATCCGGACACGGCAAATTATGCCACCAGTCTCCCGATAGTGCCGAATGTTGGCCGAATGTTTCCCGAGAGTTCTGTATTTACTGGGGTGCCGTGCCTAGATTTTGTTTAAAAAAATCGCTAATATGAATTCTTAAAAATTTACTCTTTAAACTGACAAAGAGGCCGTGTATTTTGTACAAACATGTCGTTTTTTGCCCCAAAAATACAGTTTATCAAGATCTACACTTTAAAACAAACCCGTTTAAAACCGCACAATAAATAAAGATTTTACAGGGGTGAGTCGCAAACAAATGGGTCAAACTGTATATATAATTATTGTTGAAAAAAACAAACAAGTCTTAAAAATGTAATAGATTTATTAATTTTGTAATGACGTAATAGATTTTTGGCCGTTGTAATAGAACTATTACAAATGTAATAGACGGAACAACACTGCCATTGACCATATGCAAGGAATGCGGTCGATGTTGCCAATGGTAAAAAAAATAAAATTCCCTATTGGGAACATTCAATTATATTACGTTGGCTACACTGAAATTTTGAATTTCCCGCACAAACTGACATGCATTCTAGTAGTTCCCAGAGATAAAGAAGGTAGTTCCAATGTTGTATAATAAATTAAGGTGCGAATTTCAAATGTGGGAATTATTATTATTTATTATTATAAAAAAAAGATGAAAATTAATTTAGTTTGTGCGGGAAATTCAAATTTTCAATGTAGCCAACGTAATATAATTGAATGTTCCCAATAGGGAATTTTATTTTTTTACCATTGACAACATCGACTGCATTCCTTGCATATGGTCAATTACAAAAAAAAAGAGCAATACACCAAACCAACAACAACAAACTAGAGGTAGACGGTAGACCGTCTACCCAGGCATTCCTACCCGAATCCTCTGGTGGAATTAGCGCAAAAAGGAATGAGCTGGCCAAATAGTCTACAGACTAAAGGCCAACAGCGCTATCCTGAATGAAGTAAGGATAGCAGTAACGAAGAAGAAGAAGAATCAGTTATTTTTGTTCATGCAGTAACTGCATTGCAGTTGGCGACATTGCGTGTCAAAACACGTGTTTTAGGGTTAGAATTCTCAAAACATGATGGAAATATCGGAAAATATCGCTGAAATAAACAAAGTAGAGGCAGAAAAAAACGTGGAAACTGTAAACAAACAAGAGGAGAACCCTTACGCGTACTTGGATAGAGGTGAATTCACGTCGGAGAACTATAAAATCGAAATTAAAAATTTGCCGAAATACTACGGAATTAATGTATGTTAGTTTCGAGGGTTACTTAGGGCTGTATTGATGGTTTTTGTGTTGTAGGAGTTTAAAAAGTTGTTGAATACTAAGCTAAAGTTAAGTACAAACAAAATTAAGACGCCCAAGAGGAATAGCCCTTATGCTTTTGTTTGTTTTCGTAATGATGAAGATAGGGATATTGCTTTAAAGGCTTTGGAGAATTATAGTTGGAAGGGAAAAGTTCTGCAGGCTATTGTAAGTTTAATTGGGTTTAATGTTTAAATTTTAAAATTTTTATAGAAAGCAAAACCAGCACCTGATCCTTTGGTTAAAAGAAGGCAGGAAAGTAATGATGAAAATAGGCAAAATAAAAAACCAAAATTTGAAGGAACACAGGAAGAAAGATTGAAGTTTTCCACAACACCATTTTGGGATAAGGAATATTCAGAACAAGTTTTTAATATTTATTGATGATTTAATAAAAATTTAACTAGCAATAATATTTTAGTTAAAATTAAAAGAAGAAGATATGAGGCAAATTTTACGACGATTGGGTAACGACCTACAATATCAAAATTTTGAATTAAAACAGTGGATACAAAATCAAAAATCCAAAAATAGTGGTTTACCTTGTGAATTTTTAAAAGTTAGATCTGCTGAACCATATGATGGGTAAATAATATAATTATTTCAGGCTGTAATAATATAAATAAAATTTCCAATTTTTTCCTACAGCTATAGGAATAAATGTGAGTTTAGTGTTGGTATAGATGAAGAAACGGGCCTTAAAACTGTGGGATTTAGAATTGGCGCATATGTTAATGGAGTTACAGGTGTAGGCCCTGTAGAAAACTTAAAACATATCCCGGATTCAATGAAAATTGCTGTTAGGGTGAGAATATTTCTTCTAAAATAATCCCCATTGTACCCAAACTTATCTATCAACTGAAGGTCTTGTTAACTCCTAGGTTTTCCAAGATTTAGTGAGAAATTCGGACTTGGACGTTTTTAATCCTGAATTTCAGTCGGGACATCTCAGACAATTATGTGTTAGAAGAGCAAAGGATCAACTAATGCTTGTTGTTGGAATTCATCCGCAAGACCTGTCTGAAGAAAAGTTGAAGACTTTTAAGGAACATTTGGTGGAATTTTTCACTAATGGTCCTGGTAAAGAAGCCAATGTTACATCTTTGTACTATCAGGCTATTGTCAAAAAGTGAGTAGTTTATTTTAATTTAAAAATATTCTGTAGCATTATTATTTTTTAACGTTATTTCCAAAAATGTCAAATCTTACTAAAATCTGTCAAAATTCCCTGAAAATGGCAAATACACATTTTCAAGATATTTAATAGTTATTTACGATATAAGTGGGATAAGAGCTTTATTAACGTACGAGTGCGTAGCACGAGTTGGGCAATCGCAAAAGTACGTTAATAAAGCGTTATCACACGTATATTGTAAAAATTTTTATCTACGCCTCTAAATGAAAAAATAAACGGTAATTATTTTTGTCTAAGACTTAATTTAGGGTTATTTTGACATTTTGACTTTTTTATTTGATTGGTTAAAAACAGAGAAAAACGCGTGCGTTAATGAACTTCTTATCTCACTCAAAATGAGTGGGATAAGAAGTTCTTATCTCACTGGCGTAGATAAAAATGTTTAAAATACAAAAACTGTCTTTTGAATAACAAAAACGTATCTAAAAATGTCAAACTTACTTAACCCTTATGTGACTGGGAAAAAAACACCTTCCTATGACGGAGTGTTTACCTGGGTACCCAAATCATATTAATTTGTATATTAAACGTACAATATCTGTTTTTATGTTTTTTATGGATGTATTTGTAAATTTATAAGCTAGTAGTAAATATATTTATTGGAAAAACCAAAAGGCTATCGACCGAAGTCTTTCTGCCTATAAGCTATTAACTTGTGCGATATACTTACGTATTTGAATAAGTAAGCTATTAACTTGTGCGATATACCTACGTATTTGAACGGGTAAATCTCGGACTGGTATTGACAGTTTAGTTGTTTCTTTACACCGTTGAATAAACAATTGTTTAAGTGCGGGTATTATTTTGTATCAGTTTTTTTTTACAAATATATAGATGTAGATAAACTTTGCGTTTTCATTTTAGCTATAAAATATATAATTTGGCATTTTAAACTAAAGGGTACCTGGGTACCCAAACCGTCATTTGTGTGTGGAAAAACTTTGAACATTATTTATTTAAAAAAAGGGTAAACATGTATTTTAAATTTTAATATTGTGTAGAAAATATCTAGTTTAGAAATTTCACGAAATGGCAAACCTCCTCGATTTTAATCAAAAAAGATATTCATATCTAAAAGCTGAATGGGGTACCCATTTAGTCACATAAGGGTTAAAGATGTTAAAAACCTCATTATAAACCCCATTTAAAAATGTCAAACTGGCTTAAAGACGTCAAAGCATGAATTTTTAAATGTCATTTTAAAAATATTTAAAAATGTCTTTAAGAAATAAAAACTGTTAAAAACCCATTTAAAAATGTCAAACTTACCTAAAGATGTCAAAAACACATTATCAAGATATTTAAAAACGTCAAAACTACATAAAGATTTCAAAAACACATTTTTTATTTCTTAGACATTTTGAAATATTTTTTAAAAATGATATTTAAAAATACATGTTTTGACATGTTTAAGTAAGTTTGACATTTTTAAATGTGTTTTTGACATTCTAAAGACTGTTTTTATATTTTTTACTATTTTAAATATCTTGAAAATGTGTTTTTGGCATTTTTAAGTAATTTAGTAAGTTTTTATATGTGTATTTGTCATTCTAAATTAAGTTTTGATAGTTCTTTACGGTTTAAACGTTTTTAAATGATATTTAAAAACGTCTTTAAGAAATAAAAACTGTCGGAAACCCATTTAAAAATGTCAAACTTACTCAAATGTTGAAAACCTAATTCTAAATCCCATTTAAAAACGCCAAATTTGTTTAAAGATGTCAAAAACAAATTTATAAATGTCAAAATTAGTTAAAGATTTTAAATGTCGTTTTCAAAAAATAAAAAAAAATGTGTCGACTTAATAAAAAACTGTCATAATTAAGAATATTTTAGATATAATATATATATTATATATGTATATATATACATATATACCTATATATATATACATACACATATATATGTATATATATATCATATTATGATGTTTAAGATTTTTTTTAAATGTCATACTTAATAATGTCAAAAACAAATTTTTAACATATTTAAAAATGTAAAACTGTCAAAATCCTAATTTAGAATATCAAAAACACATTTAAAAATGTCACACTTACTTAAAGATGTCAAAAACATATTTTAGAATGTAATTTTTTTAGATTAAAAAAAAATAAAAATCTCATTTAAAAATGAAAAAAATATAAAAACGTCATTAAGAACGTCAAAAACACCTTTAAGATGTGTTAAAAGATTTTATTAGTTTCACACGAAAATTCGCAATGAACTTCGTCATCAGTCTCGGTCATGTTTTAGGTTACATAATAACGATTTTACACCCTCAGAACACCTAAGCGGTGATACGCACATCTACGAAACAATTCTCGGTCTGAAATTCAAAATTTCTCCCGAAGCATTTTTCCAAGTCAATACCGCTGGCGCAGAAGTACTCTACCAATCTGCAATGGAGTTGGCAGATCCCACGAAAAACTCTACTGTATTGGATGTGTGCTGCGGCACAGGAACCATAGGGTTGTGCTTTGCAGAGGTAAAAAATAACAAAAAGTGCTGTTAATATCTAAAAACATGTTTTTGTAGAAATGTGGGCAAGTTTTGGGCCTGGAAATAATCCCACAAGCTATAGAAGACGCAAATGAAAATGCCGTGGCTAATAATGTAAAAAATGCGGAGTTTTTTACTGGAAAAGCAGAGGAAATTCTAGGGACAGTTTGTTATAAATCTACGCATGATGACGTCATTGCTGTGGTGGATCCCCCTAGAGCTGGATTACGTAAGTAATTTATTTGCCTATTTTAGCGGTTAAAATTGTATTTCTAAAACGTTGCTTTAGATCAAAAAGCGATTCTGCAGCTCCGTAAAATCCGCAAAATCAACAAACTCGTCTACGTATCGTGCAATCCTTCGATGGCAATGAAAAATTTCGTGGACTTGGGACGTCCGGAGTCCAAAACAATACACGGTGACATGTTTGTTCCGGTTAAGGCAGTGGCTGTGGACATGTTTCCACACACTAAACACTGCGAGCTGGTTATTTGCTTTGAAAGATGGGAAAATATAAAGAAACGGGAAGAAGATGCAAAGGTATTGGATGAAAAAACAAAAAAAGAAGATAACATTGATAAGGAATCAGAAGAAAACAAAAATATTGTAGACAATGTTGATACTTGAGTTTTAATTTAAATAAATTTGTTTAAAATAAAGTTAAAGAGTTTAATTAACCATTTCAAAATAATATCTAGGTACATAATATATTTTTTCTACTCCCACCTAAGTGACCTTTTAAATACACATTGACAAGTTGTGGCTTTATGGCGCTTTAGTCACGGGCTGAAAGCAACAGGTTTTTAGTCACAGGCTGAAGTTAGTTTTAAGTTAGTTGACAGTTGTCAAATGTCATACAATCGTTAAAATAAATTGCCTTCCTTGTAAAATAATACTAAATGTCGGCTGAAGGACGAAAGTCAATGGCCTTTTGAAAAATGTATTTTTTTCAATAAAGAACATTTATTATTATTAATACTAAATGTGAAAATATTTTTTTTTATCTCAATACAAAAATACAAAAGTATTAAATAGTTTCTCAACGCCAATATTTGAAAAGTTTATATTGTACTGACCTTTTAATTTCGCCGGCAGTAAACTATAACTTAAATTCGGGCACGGACTCCACTGTAAAGTGCTCATAAAACATTTTCTTTACTTTCACTGTGAAAAACTGTCAATTTTCAAAAAATACATTTCGATTTATAACCTTTATAATTGTGTTGATAAAATTTAAAAATTTGACGGTGACACACAGATTCCCCTATTGTTTCATAGATGGCGCTCTATACAAATTTTTGATTTAAATCATTTTAAGATAATAATAAGTATTTGTCAAGATACATACACCTTAAGATAGGATGGTGCGCATATTGGGCGGGGCTTAATGACGTCACTTGATGAGTGTTTTTAAATCTTTAACGTGCCTTTTAATTATCTGCTGCTAAAATTCTTGTTTTTGCGATGCTTTTGGATGTTATAACTTGCTCTACTTTTTGTTTAACTTGTCGTTTTTGTGTTCGGTAAGGTTCGAATTACTTTTCAGCGTTCAAATTATTGTTATTGCGTTAGGTTAACCTGTTAGGTTTGTTTATTATTGTTTTTGTGTTGCGTTAACTTGTTTTGTTTGTGTTTTAGATTGTATAGTGCCATTTGCATTTATTAAAATGCGGTGTGGCATATTTGGATGCAATTCGGACAACCAGTCCAAGAAAAACCCTTTAAATAAAAACATTAAATTTAATCGATTCCCGAAAAAGTTTGATTTGTGGAAACAGTGTTTAAATGCCACAAAAATAATAGACAATATTTACGTTAAGACCGCTTCTGTTTCCTATAAACATTTTCTGGGCAGTGACTATAAGTTTAATTTAAAACACCAACGCTTAAACTACAGCCCTAAATGTTATCAAGGACTGAAAGCGTTTATTATCCATATTATAACACTTTCTTCAATATTAAGTTTAATAAAAACGCACTATGTCCAGAAATGTCTCTATTTTCTTTGATAATATTACTATTATTCGTGTATTCGCACGGCAACTACTCATCAAGTGACGTCATGCGCGGGACGAACCAAAACTCTTACACGGGAGCATCCAGCCCTGAGTATTTGTCGTAGAAAAAGTATAGTATGCACCTCTTTATAAACTTTTCTATACACTCATTAATTTAAGCACTCGCTCGCAAGCTCGCTTCCCAGCAAACATTGAGCGTCGGTTAAACGTTGGCCGATTGACTACGGATTATCGGGCCAATGCCGGACGCCAACGTCGATCCGGACCGTATATGACCGCCCGGCCGAAAGCCCAGCCAGCAATCGGCCAATTGGGGGTCCCGATGTCTTACCGATATTTCTCTAGAACTCGATTCTCCTTTAGATGCATATTCTTTACCAATAATCAGTCGGTTCAATGTCTAAATGATGCATTTTATTTTATGATACGTCATATATTCCGCGTCTTTTAAATGCGGTATATCCAAAGTATAGAAACATTTTATTTATCGGCTATCCATCAGTTTTTCAAATAACCTTTAGATAAATTAGTGGTTTTTCCGGCTGTCGTCGTTTGAGATCGGTTCTCGACGTTTCGCCATCATGAGTGGATGGCATCTTCAGGAGATGTTTCTTTTTGAGCGACTACTCGAAGACTAATTAGTAGTCAGCTCAAAAAGCAATATCTCTTGAAGATGCCATCCACTCGTGATGGCGAAACGTCGAGAACCGATCTCAAACGACGACGGCCGAACAGCCCGAAAAACCACTCATCATTAAACGTCAAACGATGGCCGCAAAAGCTTTCCACAGTTTGAACCTTTAGATTTTTTTGTATTTTATATTTTTTACATTTAAAAACATCCAAGTGCATATACTCGTAAATTATAGGTTTTCTGTCGTTAATTACAGGAAAATTATAATTTTTGGAGTACATACTATGTAAGTTGACGATTTTTTTTAAATGCAAAAAATATGAAATTTAAGAAAAATTAAATATGTACCTCATGTTTGAAAAACTGATAGCGATAGCCGACACTTTAGTTATTAAACTTGGTCCCTCTTATAAGTTCAACTCTTGTTTAACTGAAATAAAAAATTAAAGGTAGGAAAATTTGGGTAGAAATTATGGCTACAGTTTTTAAATAATCATGGATATATTATATTAATTTTTAGCGTTTTGATGGAGATTAATAATTGACAACAATATAAAAGATGATATCAAAGTCCTCTCATTGAATAGACTAATAGTTCATATTTTGATATAAACTTTATTTCATTATTACACATCTTTCCCAGAACATAGAAACATTGGAATACCTTCAACAGGCAACAGACAAAACATTAAAAGTAGTAGGTATAACATAATGCTCTTGAGCTAAATAGGAACATACATTTATTTCTAGCGTAGTGTGTCTGTTGTCACTTGGAGGCTACTCAAAAAACGTCGGCGTATAACATTAACGAAACCTATTAAATCCATTCTAAAAAAAATATCGAGTTCAAACAGAAAATAATATTCGCCTTTTCAAACAGGTTTGCAATTAGCAAAAAAAACAGTTATACGAGCCCTAACACAAAAATGTTCGGACACTTCATAATTTATACAGAAATATTTTTCGTGAATACTCTCTCAAAATTATTAGAAGTTATGAAAAATTCAGCTCATTTTAGCATATACCCCTCAAAGCGATTTTTATTTTTAAAAAGTTTACCTTTTATTTTTAGCTTTTAAAAAAAGGCTAACTTTTAAACTTTTTTTTGTATGAGTAAAAAAAGTTATAAATGGACCCATTAAAAAGAGCATAAAATATTATACAAACCCTGAAAATTTGGTAAAAAATAAATTAGTTATAAAAAAGTATAAGTAATTTAAAAATGCTATTTTAAAGAGTTTTTGCAATTTTCTTAGGAAATGGGAGATTTTGCAGATATATATATTGTTATAACTTTCTTATTATTTATACAATTTTTACCAAATTTTCAGGGTTTGTATAATATTTTACGTTCTTTTTAATGGGCCCATTTATAACTTTTTTTACTCATACAAAAAAAAGTTTAAAAGTTAGCCTTTTTTTAAAAGCTAAAAATAAAAGGTAAACTTTTTAAAAATAAAAATTGCTTCGAGGGGTATATGCCAAAATAAGCTGAATTTTTCATAACTTCTAATAATTTTGAGATAGTATTCACGAAAAATATTTCTGTATAAATTATGAAGTGTCCGAACATTTTTGTGTTAGGGCTCGTAAGACCGACACACGCATACATATAGAAATTTAAACTTAAATAGTAAGCAACAGAAATCTAAATATATTGAATACATTAAATGTACTTAATCAAAAGTAATAAAAAAAATTCAGTCTTCAGTGTTGGGAACAGCTTCTTTTTTGCGACTAATTCGTCCACCTGCTCTGTCTCCTGCATTGCGCAGCCAGGATTTAACAGCTGATTCTATTTCGTCAATTGTCCCATTTCTCCCATTCGCATTTCGACATACAGATGCTAAAATATTAGGCCAAAATTAATTCAAAGAAATACAAATACATATTCTGCATTGTTGTATTACTATTATTAATTTTTATATCATTCCATTTAGGTATTTTACAATAAAAAGTTTTGTAAAAGATTAATTTTATCAAACTAAAAACTTAAAATATAAACTTTAATCATCACTGTATAAAAGTTTTAATTAAATCCAAATTTGCACTTAAACAACTGGCCCTTCATAAATAAATACATCACTCATTAAAGGAGATATCAACATTTTCTTCAAGTTTCATTTTGTTGTTAAGAATTTCTGTAAATTACTTACCAATATTGTTCTGCAAACCCAAACGTAAATCTTCAATTCTTTAACTGTTTTCCCTTAACTAGCATAAATATGCCAAAAAATATGTTTCCATTTGCACAGGGCCAATTTATATACATATTATGTAATTTAAAGACAAGGCACAATTATAGGATGTTAAAACCTTAATTAAAAATTTATAATCAGAAGATATTTTTTTAAATAATGTATTAACCTACCTTTACAACAAAAGTATGAGTATTTTTGATTGTAGTTAAATCCACAATCCATTGTATAGTTTAACAATTTCGCTGTGAACATCGTCAAAATTTTCCAGTTTTGCACACAACCTTTGATTATCAATCAACGACACAAATAATACTTCTCTGGCACATTAGACGTAATATTTATTTTCATATATTCTTAAAACATCCTTATTAAATGTAATTCTAAACGGATTATTTAAACTTGGACTTGATAACGTCAAAATATGATTTTATTTTAAACAAGAAGTCTAAACTTTTTTTAGATTGTATCAAAAGACTGCGTCCCCCGAGGTGGGCGATTTCAGTTTGGAGGATAGTACATAATATTGACATTAACTTACTCCTGGCTTATATCAGGATCCACATATAAACTCTCTTGAGACATTATTGAGACCAGAGATAAACGCCGCGACCGTGGTGTGCATCAAACCGTTTGATTCAAACGCCATTTGCAATTGTCCCCAGAGCAAAGAACTCTGGGTTCGAGTCGTCGTCGTTAGGGTTCGGTCACAATCCGAATGACAATTCGCGCAAAAATTTGAATTTTTAACTCATTTTCAATAATGCGATATGCCGCTACTTATTCCGTTGGTTCTCGTGGTCAAAAATTCAAACTTTCGATGACGACAAAAAGAGCGTCGGATAATATAAAATAACCGATATCGAATAGATCGTGCTAAACTGACAATCGTCATGTGAATGGTTTTTCGATTCAGATTCGATTTACTATTCCCGATTATCGGTGACGGGGCGTAAATTAGATGGTATACCGTTACAATCCAACCGATGCCGATCTAAAATAGATCTGCGCGCAGTCGGCCGATTTGAAACCAACCGTCAATGTTTGCTGGGTTATCAAACTTGATACATAATATACCTACTATTAGAACACAGAACATAAGTATTAGAATATAATTTTTAATTTAAAGATTTTTTAAAATGTCAAAACTGTCAGAAACCCAGGTCAAAAAACATTTAAAAAATTTCAATTAAAAAAGTCTTAACCTAATAAAACTAAACTATAGTTTATAAACTAAACTAAAATATTTTAAAGGGTCCAAACTTAAAACTGTCAAAATTGTAGAATGTCCAACTTATAAGTACTTATAAGTTATCTCTGGTATACTTAAACATGTCAAAAACACATCTTAGAATGTAAGTTTTAAGACTTAAAAATGTTAAAACTATAAGAACAAAAACATTTTTGAATGTAATACCTATAAAAAAATATAGGTATTTAAAAGTGTCTTGGTTTATTAAACTCGCTTAAAGATGTTAAAAATAATTTTTCTTACTACCTCGGCCGAAAATACGTTGTTTCGTCCCCGATTCCACGGCAGAAAGTTTACGTTTGATGCATTGGTCAAGCTATAAGTATTTTCTGCCGAGGTATACCTATATACTATAGTAAGAAAATGTAATTTTTTATCCTTCTACAAAATAAAAAATATACAAATATATCGATATATGGTCAAGCTATACGCGCGCCCTCTATAATATCGCTCGTGCCGCAAATGTCGGGGCAGGCATCAATATGTTTCGATATACACATTTAATTTTATCCCGTATTTTCGGCCGGGTAGCAAGAAAAATAGTATACACTACACGGGCAGAAAGTGTGAGAGCCCTTCGCCTCGGGCATCATGGCGCGCAGTGCAGGAATCTCACACTTTCTGCCCTTGTAGTGTAATATACTATTTTAAATGTACCTAATTTAAAAAAAAATTGTAATGTCTTACCCCAATAAAACTACCCTTGCGGCCTTGAGTTCACGGTTTATTCACCGTGAATTCACCGTGAATAAACCGTCTGTTTGTGACATTTGTAAACGGTAGTTAGACGGTGAATTCACGCACTTTTCACAGACGGTGAATTCACGGTGAATTCACAGTGAGTTCACGGTGAATTCACGGTGAATAGGTAAACCGTGAACTCAAGGCCGCAAGGGAGATTATACTATCCCTCCTTTTTTAAATGGAACCACTACGGACTTGGCTTTTCAATGTCGTCGTTTATTAAATATGTACTGGTAGGTTATAACTTCCAGAATAACAATATAATGTTTAAGTATACTGCCTATAGGCATGCCTGCAGGTAATTTTATAAACCCTTTAAATTTTACTGTTGAACTTGTGAATTTAGTTTTTGTAAAATAAATGCGCTTTATCAATATTTAAGTATAAACAAATTATTTATTTAATAATGTTTATAAATAAAAAAATCTTAATTAAGATTTTTTTATTTATAAACATTAGACTGGGCCAAAAAAATTGACTAATTTTTTTTTTGAAAAATATATCGAGAATGTCATTCAGAATGACAAAAAAAATATTTCGTGAAAATTTGAGCCCTTAATATTAATTTTAAGAGGTCTATCATCGCTATTTTTGATTTTTAGTCATAATTTGATGTTTTACGTTAGAACTGTCAAAACATTAAACTGAAAAAAATTCCTTGTCACTTATTTTTATATAAAATTAAATTCTCTACAAAAAAGGTCTGATTGAAAATTTTCGTCAGACGAGCCGTTTCCGAGTAATTGAGCCTAATAAATCGATGTGTTTTTTCGATTTGCCCTTTTTACTTTGAAATTTTGTAACTAATGAATTAATGAATATTTTAAAAAGCTCACGTCGGATTCTTAAAGGAAATTTAATGTTCTACAAAAAAGGTCTCCTAACATTTTTGCCTAAATTTAATTCTTCAAAAGTTATTCACGAAGAAAAAATTCAAATTTTAAGTTTTTCTTCGATTTTAATTGTGAATAACTTTTGAAGAATTAAATTTAGGCAAAAATTATAAGAGAACTTTTTTGTAGAACCTTAAATTTCCTTTAAGAATCCGACGTGAGCTTTTTAAAATATTCATTGATTCATTAGTTACAAAATTTCAAAGTAAAAAGGGCAAATCGAAAAAACACATCGATTTATTAAGCTCAATTACTCGGAAACGGCTCGTCTGATGAAAATTTTCAATCTGACCTTTTTTGTAGAGAATTTAATTTTATATAAAAATAAGTGGAAAGGAATTTTTTTCACTTTAATGTTTTGACAGTTCTAACGTAAAACATCAAATTATGACTAAAAATCAAAAATAGCGATGATAGACCTCTTAAAATTAATATTAAGGGCTTAAATTTTCACGAAATTTTTTATTTGTCATTCTGAATAACATTCTCGATATATTTTTCAAAAAAAAAAAATAGTCAATTTTTTTGGCCCAGTCTAATAAACATAAATATTAATATTTATTATTAATTTTTTATTTAATTATTAATACCGTCTATTAGCAACAAAATTACTATTTATTAAAAAGTAAACAACCATTTACAAACAATTAAAATAATTTATTATGTACATTACCACGTGGTACTTGCAACCTTAAGATTACCGTGAATTTGCGGTGTTTTCACAGTCAATTTACGGTGTTTTCACAGTAAACTCACAGCGCTTTTACGGTGAATTCACGGTGATTTCACGATAAATTTACGGTACTTTGACAGTGAATTTGCGGTGATTTTGCAAACTTGAGTTCATCGTGAAATCACCGTGAATTAACCGTGAATTTATCGCAAAAACAGCGTGAGTTCCCACTGGGAAAGAAACCTTACAAAATATTGCTGCAATGTTCGCCGACTTTACAAATAAAATATTTCTTGTGCTACTTGCATTAACATAAATGAAATGTTACATTTGAAATATTGCATATAATAATTTCCAACAACCTTAAATTTAAAACATTATTTAAAGATTCACATGGAAAGTTTTTACAATGTTATATTTGTAACATTTAGTATAAAATGTTGCATAAAAGTTTTTAAACATTACAATTATAATATTGCAGACATAACTTTTTTTCAATGTTTCAATTGAAATATTAACACAAGTTTCAAATGAAAAATGTTTGCAACTTTACTTTAAATATACAATAGAAACATTTATTTTGGAATGTTTGGGAATATTTTTGAAACATTGCAATTATAATATTACATTGATAAGTTTTGGGCAATGTTTCATCCGAAATATTACATTAAGATGATTTTTAAAATTTTGCTTAATATAAACAATATAAACATTTAATTTGCAAGATTTTTGGAACATTGTAACTATAATATTACGTAATGTACATTTATAATTATAACTTTAGTTTTGGACATCCGAAATATTGCATTAAGATAATTTTTGCAATGTTGTTTGCAGCCTGACTTGCCGATGCATCTCGCCGCTGTCTTGGTCATTTATATCTTTATAAGTGAACATTGCCGAGCTTGATGCGTGTCTCCAGTCACCGACTGCCTGACACTCATGAGACCAAACAGGATAAATAATTATAATTAATTATTATAATAATAATTCATATTAATTAAATTGCAATGTTCCTGTAATGTTGCGGGAACCTTTCATTAACAAAAATAACATTTAGTAACATTGCAAATAATACATTTAAGCAACATTTTATTTGTAAATGTAATGTTCCTGAGCCGGACATAAGGCTTTGTTGCAATGTTCCTGCAACATTGCCACAAGGATTTTTGTAACATTACATCTAACAAATGTAACGTTCAGTAACATTGTAGAAATATTATTTTTCCCAGTGGGTTCACTGTTTAATTACCGTCTACATATGTCACAAATGGACGGTATATTCCTAAAGCCGGGTCTACAATTGTCGCAGGTCGCAGATCGCAGAATATAGGCTTGCGCAAAGCACCCAGCTGACAAAATAACCTTGCTCCATCGCGACGTCACGGGGTGCTTTGCGCAAGCTTATGTTCTGCGACCTGCGACAATTGTAGACCCGGCTTAAGACTGTCTTAGGTATATTCACTGCACATAAACGGTGTATTCACGGTGAATTCACGCAAACGGTGAATTCACCGTAAACTCAAGGCCGCAAGGGTATCAAAATTTTAATTTTAAATTTAAAAAATAGAGCATATAAAATTTTTTTAAAAAGTCAAAAGTACAAACTATATAAACTGACAAAAATTTAGCATGTCAAAAAATGTCAAACTTACTTTTAAAATATGTCAAAAAAAACATTTTGGAATCTCAATACATGTATCCTTAACAATATGAAACGTACATATATGTACGTTTATAGGTTATATGTCAAAAACAAATTTTATCATCTCAAAACCATTACGCCAATTAATTTATAAGATAGGTACATAGGTGTATTTAAAAATGTCAAAACTTCAAAACTGTCAGAAAACTTATTTTGAATGTCAAACACCAAAGTTCTGTAATACAGGACCTGTATGAACATACTTATGTTGATTAACATACGACGTATTATGATAAAATAAATAACACATTATAATCTAGTAAATATTATTATGCATAGGCATAATTTAAAATCAAATCAAATCAGCTGCGATTGCGCATTCAAACCGCCCGCGCACCTATCTGTCAAAAGTCGATAACCACCGCGACCTCCTATACCGGCGCGAACACTAAAAAATGGAGAAGCACTGAGAAAATAAAACATAGCGCAGTGAACTAGCTGTTAATTTTTAAAATAAGTGATATGTAAATACAAACGTCAACGGTTACAAGTGTAAATATTAGTTCGTAGCCGAGTTCTGTGATACATCAAGTAATGGCAGATGATACCGCCGAACAGGAGTTGAAAAAAAACCTCTTGATAGTGCAGTCTATGATCGATGTGTCCGCGGACAGATTAGTGGGGCTCCGCACGCAATGTGCCACCAGCGCGGAGCTAACGCAGCAAGAAATAAGAACCTTGGAGGTGAGTTTGCATCCCCCTGCGTAATCGCTATACCTTTTGACGTGATAACCTATCAGCACAGAGGACAACTGTCAAAATCCAATTTGATTAGCGCCTACTAGACGTAAAAATCACAATATCTGCATATTAAGCTTTGTTTTAAAGGTTAAAAAATTATCATGTAAATGGGGTTTACTTACACAGCCGCCTGTTTGACCTTTAAATGTTAAGTGTTGCCAGATATTTATGCGCCTTTTTTGCTGTTTTTTGGTTCGGATAATGGGGTGTTTAAATTGAATTTTTATACATTTTTAGGGATAATTTGGTGTTTAATTGCCTTTTTTTAAATGAATGAATACAGTTTTATTTAAATAATTAAGCATGTTAATGTTAAAAATAATCTTCAGAAAGTCTGTTCATGTTCATAAAAAGAAAAAGCAGTATCCGGAAATTCCTTTTTGGCTACTTTGAAATTAAAAATGTGAAAAAACCACAATCTGAAACAATTTCTAATACCTAAGTAAAATTCTGTGTATTTGATAATATAAAAAAACTGAAATCAAACTTACCTACAGTTTTTTTAAATCAGAATTAGACAACGTCAAAAATTTGGGGGTTTAGTTGGAAAATTCTAGGGACACTAAATTTATAATTGACTTCATTAAGTAAAGCAAAATAATTTAGTGGATAATAAAATTGTGGTTATGTTATACCTATTATCCCGGACAACAATCGGGATTTCCTGGTGAAATCATGATGATATCACAACGTGATTTTTTTGTCACGCCGTGATATCCTGAGTTCATACACATGCTTCATCACAGTGATATCATGTAGAACTCACGGTGTGATTTTTGCAAAATTTGCGCAACCTAGTTTGTTACCTGTTGATTCAACATAACTTATCTCTTAGTGTACGAACGTGGCGCAAAAATGATTATCAAAACAACGTTGGCATAAAAAATCACGACATGATCTTTTATGCTATCGGTGTTTGAGCATAAAAAATCACGACATGATTTTTTATGCCATCGGACATGTTAGGATATTTATTTTTGCGCCACATTCGTACATTGTGAGAAAAAGTATGTTAACAATTGAATTAACAGTTTTTGCGGTTAAATACATTTAATATTTTCTTGGATGTAAATTAACTATTAATTTAATTCCAAAAAAATATTGTATGTATTTAACCACAAAAACTGTTGATTCAATATAATATATTGAATATATATTATATGTAAGTATACTTTTTCCCCTAATGTACGAATGTGGTGCAAAAATAAATATCCAAACACCGATGGCATAAAAAATCACGACATGATTTTTTATGCTATCGGTGCTTGGGCATAAAAAATCACGACATGATTTTTTATGCCATCGGACATCTTTGGATATTTATTTTTGCGCCACATTCGTACAGTGTGAGAAAAAGTATGTTAACAATTGAATTAACAGTTTTTGCGCTTAAATACATTTAATATTTTTTTGAATGTAAATTAACTATTAATTTAAATCCAAAAAAATATTGAATGTTTTTATTTAACCACAAAAACTGTTGATTCAATATATATATAGGTATTCTTTTTCTCTCAATGTACGAATGTGGCGCAAAAATAAATATCCAAACACCGATGGCATAAAAAATCACGACATGATTTTTTATGCTATCGGTGTTTGGGCATAAAAAATCACGACATGATTTTTTATGCCATCGGACATCTTTGGATATTTATTTTTGCGCCACATTCGTACAGTGTGAGAAAAAGTATGTTAACAACTGAATTAACAGTTTTTGCGGTTAAATAGATTTTATATTTTTTTGAATGTAAATTAACTATTAATTTAAATCCAAAAAAATATTAAATGTTTTTATTTAACCACAAAAACTGTTGATTCAATATATATGTAGGTATTCTTTTTCTCTCAATGTACGAATGTGGCGCAAAAATAAATATCCAAACTCCGATGGCATAAAAAATCACGACATGATTTTTTATGCTATCGGTGTTTGGGCATAAAAAATCACGACATGATTTTTTTATGCCATCGGTGCACCGACATCTTTGGGTATTTATTTTTGCACCACATTCGTACATTGAAAGAAAAAGTATGTTAACAATTGAATGAACAGTTTTTGCGGTTAAATACATTTAATATTTTCTTGAATGTAACTTAACTATTAATTTAAATTCAAAAAAATATTGAATGTTTTTATTTAACCACAAAAACTGTTGATTCAATATATATGTAGGTATTCTTTTTCTCTCAATGTACGAATGTGGCGCAAAAATAAATGTCCAAACACCGATGGCATAAAAAATCACGACATGTATTTTTATGCCATCGGTGTTTGGATATTCATTTTTGCGACACATTCGTACATTGAAAGAAAAAGTATGTTAACAATTAAATTAACAGTTTAACATTCAATATTTTCTTGGATTTAAATTAAATATATATAGTTAATTTAAATCCAAGAAAATATTAAATGTATTTTTAAAACCGCAAAAACTGTTGATTCAACATAATTTTTCTCTTAGTGTGCGAACGTGGCGCAAAAATGATTATCCAAACACTGTTGGCATAAAAAATCACAAAATGATTTTTTGTGCCATCGGTCAATCGCAAACAGCGATGGCATAAAAAATCACGACATGATTTTTATTTCTCACGCAGTGACATCCGGATGATGTCCGTATGAATAAAATTTGTGAAAATCACGTCGTGACGTTCGTATGATTTTCATTTATCACGCGGTGACTTCCGTATGATATCAGTATGAATAAAATTTGTGAAAATCACGACGTGATGTTCGTATGATTATCACGAATGTTGTCCGGGATGTTTATAAATTTTAAAAATTTCAAATAAAAGTTGTTAAAAATTTACCTTTGATGACTTTACAGCCCAAAAAAATTTAGAATTTTCTGTTATCTTTGCCCATGTTTATTATAAGTCTGGCAATTAAATCTAAATGTCAATGTATTTAAAATTAGGAGGTTATTAATCTATGATTAAGGCCTTGAACAGGAGTACTTATATTAACATTCAATACCAACATAATCAAATGTGTCAAATTCTGAATAAAAAAAAACAAACTTACAATTATTTTTTAAAAGGAAAAAGTTTATTATTATTAATAATTTATTAACACAGTTTTGATTTTTGAAACAAAGTACCATAATTTTTGTTACTTTTTGTAATTTTGCTAAATGCTGTCCAGGAAATGACACACTAAAAAATTTCCCAGACAGCACAAATGTCATAGATGACAAATGTCCAGTAGATATCCACTGGATATCCATTGGATATCCCAAATCCATGGGATATCCATTAGATATCTAATGGAAATATTATGTATATGTGTGCCCTCTGGGTTTACAATTTTATTTTCTGACAAGAGCCATTCCACGCGTAACGGATAGGACAGTTGCCGTGTTTTTATTTACAAAATAATATTTTTCTATTATATTACTAATGTCAAATTTTTATAAATAGTTCTAAACTAAAGCTGTTAACAAGGTTTTTATTTGGCAAAATTAGGTATCGTGGTTGACTGTTAAATTCCTTAAAAACTAATAATTTAAAGCGTAACGCACGGGACTTCGTAATGGTCCCGTCCGTTACGCTTTAAATTATTAATTTTTAAGGAATTAAACAGTCAATCACGATACCTAATTTTGCCAAATAAAAACCTTGTTAAACAGCTTTTGTTTAGAACTATTTATAAAAATTTGACATTGGTAATATAATAGAACAATATTATTTTGTAAATAAAAACACGGCAACTGTCCTATCCGTTAAGCGTGGAATGGCCCACAAGTAGTTTTTCCCTAAAAAAGTCTTAACCTAATAAAACTGTCCAAAGTAGTAGAGCATAGTGTCAAAACTTAAAACTCTAAAAACTGTCAAAAATGTAAAATTTCAAAATGTCAAACTTATAAGTATACTTAAAGATGTCAAAAAACATCTTAGAATGTAAGTTTTAAGACTTTTAAAAATGTCAAAACTATAAAAAGTGTTAAAAATGTAAAACACCTTAAAAATGTGAAACTTAAGTTTCGTCAAAAACATTTTTGAATGTAATTTAAAAAATATATTTAAAAGTGTCTTGGCTTATTATAAAGATGTTAAAAATAATTTTTTAAATGTAATTATTTTTTTTAAATATCTTACCTTAATAAAAACCATTAATTTAAAATGTAAAAAATGTAAATATTTAAAAATATTTTATTTAAACCTTCTTAGTAAATGACATTTTATATATATGATATTTTGTTGTTTTTGTATCCAAGTAAATTTGAATTTTACGGGCTTGTATAAAAGACCTGTAAAGTTTTACAGGCTTGTAGAAAAGCAATTTATGAAATGAAATGTCACATTAAAATTTTAAATTTGAAAATCGTTATCTAAAGGTGAAAATAAAAGTTTGTACTTGTCACGCTTTGCAATTAATCTTTACTAGGCTCACTAGATTTTGGGGTTCGCTCCTGCGTCGCTCACCCCACAAACTTCCAGCTCGCCCGTAAAGATTCATTTACAAAGCTTGACCCGTAAATAACTTCATTCACAGTGTTTGACATATATTTATTCAACAACATTTCTTGACAACCAAAAACAACAATGGTTACAAATCAAAGCTTCCTACACAGATACATACAAATATAGTTTATTAATAGATACATTGATCCAATTCTTAATATATTTCAACACCCCCACTTATTAAAAATTGAAATTACTACAAATATTAAAATTAAAATAAGCAGTCCTAAAAACATATCAGAATAACAATAAATTATTAAACTAAGCCTAATTGCGATACAAATTTATTGTGTTTGATAGTTGGCAAACTCTTTGTTAAAATATCTGCAGTCATATTAGAACATGCCAAATAATGTAATGTATAATATTATTGGCTACTGTTTCCCGAACATCTATGTGTTTAGAGCGAGAATGAAGTATTGGATTTGCTGCCAATTTCTAAGCTGTCAGCAAACAAAACCAAAGAATCCAACTCT